TTTTTCCGTTGGTTCACCCCACAGGGGGCCGCTACGGCCAGCTCACTGGGCTGATCCGAAGCCAGGAGCCAGGTGCTTCTCCTGGTCTCCCATGCGGGTGCAGGGCCTAAGCACTTGGGCCATCCTCCACTGCCCTCCCAGGCCACAGCAGAGAGCTGGACTGGAAGAGGAGCAACCGGGACAGAATCTGATGCCCCAACCAGGACTAGAACCCGGGGTGCCGGCGCCGCAGGTGGAGGATTAGCCTAGTGAGCCACGGCACCAGCCAGGGGGCATGTAGTCTTTTAAAAAATCTTTCTGTCTCTCTCATTTGTCACTTCTAGTGCTGGTTGTGCCGTGGGCTAACAAGTTAGTTACAATCCTCATTTCAACTAGGAGAGCCTCCTGGTCTAAAGCTGTGCTCTGGGCTTTCCCTGCTGGCTCTTGCAACTTCACCTTGAGTTTGCAGTGCTCAGAGAGCAATGAACAGATATGGCGGCTGGCTATTTCTTGCACTTCCGTCGCATCTTCTGATAGCATAGCTTCACCATCTACAAACTCCCACGTGCTCTGCTCCCAGCAGCAGCCCTCATTAGTGCTGAATTGATTTCTGGGGCTGCATCGCCCCGGTCAATGCCCACACCCAACCCCCAGTGAGAGGTAAAAGGCTGCAGTCCCAGTGGGGCGCTTGTGCTTACTGTAAACCCACCCAGCCTCCCCGCTGAGGGTTTGCATACAGCCCTCACCTCTTCATTCCCTTCCACAGCACCGGGCTCCACGGTAAACATTTCAGCAAAGTGCATTTTGGGGCTTGAAATATGAGCACCAAAGAAACATTTCCTAGTGAAGAGAAAAAAGGACACTCCAATCCTCATATATATAACACCTCTCACTGGCATTTTATAAATATATATATATATATATGGTGATATATATGGCGTTAAATACCTGGATTAAATCTGAGACACAAACTCCATTTCTAACTTCACCGATTGTTTTGAGAACAGCAGCGCTAGTTTCACTCTCACATAAGGAGACAGTAAAGGCCCAATGAAGGTATTTAGCCCTTAGAAGGAACATTTTATCCAAGTACTTAAAAGGCTTTTTTTTTTTTTTTTTAATTTATTTGAGAGGGAGAGCGAGGTGTCTCATTCCCCAAATGCTGGCATGCAGCTGGAGTCAGGAGCTAAAAACACAGTCCAGGTTTCCCACATGGGTGGCAGGGATTCAATCTCTTGCGTCATCACCCCTCCCCCCAGGTCTGTGTTAACAGGAAACTGGAGGCAGGAGCAGGAGCCAGGAATAGAACCCAGGCACTCCGACGTGAGATGTGGGCATCTTACTGACTGAACATCTGCTCCTAAAAGACGCTGTTGGCACCTTGAAAGCGCCTCCCTCCCAGCGGCTCACTAGGTAGACGTTACCAGCCTGGAATCTCAGTAGGACATGCAGTTGAGCTCAGAACAACTGAGGCCCTGCCCTCCCAGTGTCCTCTTCCTGACACCTACGCATCTCCTTCTTGTTCTTCTGACGTTGCCAATCAACGTTAGTGCAAAATTCCTTTATCTGTGTGCCAAGAAAACATGAGGGAGCCACTGACTTAAGTAATCATTTGACTTTTTTTTTTTTTTTTTTTTTGACAGGCAGAGTGGACAGTGAGAGAGAGAGACAGAGAGAAAGGTCTTCCTTTGCCGTTGGTTCACCCTCCAATGGCCGCCACGGCCGGCGCACCGCGCTGATCCGATTGCAGGAGCCAGGTGCTTGTCCTGGTCTCCCATGGGGTGCAGGGCCCAAGCACTTGGGCCATCCTCCACTGCACTCCCGGGCCATAGCAGAGAGCTGGCCTGGAAGAGGAGCAACCGGGACAGAATCCGATGCCCCGACCGGGACTAGAACCCGGTGTGCCGGCGTCGCAAGGCGGAGGATTAGCCTAGTGAGCCGCGGCACCAGCATCATTTGACTTTTGAAAGCGAGGGACACTCTGGCATAACATGCTTGAATTGTACAGCTGGAAGGGTCCTTAGGCATCGCCAGCCCGATACCTTCGATGCAAATATCTGGGAGACCTATGTGAGAAGGCATAAGATTTGCTCAAGGTCACACAGTGAGCAATGACAGAGACAAGACTAGAGTTCTGGATGTGGGATGCTGGAAGGTATTCATTTTTGACGGCTACTAGCAGAGAGGCAGAAGTTTTCAGGGATTAGCCACATGGTGAATGAGCAGTCCGAACAAATGCAGGCTACAGAGACATCAGCAAACCTTTGTAGCTAGGTGAATGAACAGGTGGAGGAAGAGCGGGTGACCACATTTATCGCCCTAACACACACATCACTGTATACATATAAATTAATTATGTTAATGGTGAAGTGGGCCGAGTATAGGGAAAATTATGCTGGGTAGCCTAAGTTTGAACATACTACCTTGTTTTCTAAGACAGTGAAACAGAGAGAGAGAGAGATGCTCTCCATTTAATGGACTGAAGACATTTGGCCATTGACTAAACTTTTTGAGAACAACAGGGGTAAGACTTCAAGAAATTGGACAAAATATTCCATGCGATAGTTCAACTGCTTTCACTCTGACTATGCATGCTCTTCTGTCAACAATCAGATCCCTGCCTTGATTGTACAGATAACAGAGAACTGAAAAGGTGAGTCCCTCAAGACAGATATGACCTGTGAATGTTGCATGTGCCATTATAAGTTAAAGTACTGTTGTTATGATTTATATATCAATCTCTTACAAGTTTGGTTACTGGGAATCAGCCAATTATTTCTGGATGGGCCAATCATCTTCAGATTATGCAAAACAAGGACCAGAGATTAGACTATGATCCTCCTTTCCCACTCTATTCCTCCCTCTTCCCCACCAGATGTCCTAACTCTATGATGCCCTGCTGTTGACAGCCTCATTATTTCATTAAAATTGTTGCAAATTATACAGAAGAATAAATGGATTCTAACAGGGAAAAGAAATAGGGAAAGTTGGCCGGCGCCACAGCTCACTAGGCTAATCCTCCGCCTGAAGCACCAGCACCCCGGGTTCTAGTCCCAGTTGGGGTGCTGCATTCTGTCCCGGTTGCCCCTCTTCCAGGCCAGCTCTCTGCTGTGGCCCGGGAAGGCAGTGGAGGGTGGCCCAAGTGCTTGGGCCCTGCACCCGCATGGGAGACCAGGAGGAAGCACCTGGTTCCTGGCACCGGATCAGTGCAGCGCACCGGCTGTAGTGGCCATCTGTGGGGTGAACCAATGGAAAAAGGAAGACCTTTCTCTCTGTCTCTCTCACTGTCTAACTCTGCCTGTCCAAAAAAAAAAAAAAAAAAAAAAAAAGAAAGAAAGAAAAAGAAAAAAAAAGAAATAGGGAAAGTTAGCATATTTCTGTGACATAGAGTAATTGTGACAGTTTGGTGCACATAGCAGGTGAAGCAATGGAGAGTCTCTCTTACTAATAAGGAGGTGAAATACCCAGAACAATTTGGAGAGGCACAGGAAACAGGGAGGCAAAAAAAAATACCAGTAGGCATAGACAGGCAAGACAGGGTACACAAACTCAAAGTTTGTGTAGGCCTTCGGCTCTTCTTTGTTTTGAGGTCCCCGAGGGGACTATAAATGCAAGAGAGACCAAGACCTATAGGAGCTACTGTTGACTCTGTCTTTAATTTCAAAAATGTCCAGGGAGCCATAGTGGGCCACGTGGAGGATTCTCTTTGTCCAAGCTGGTGACAGAGGCAGAACAGGGTAGAGGAATTCTCCCCTAAGAGGAGAATGGGCTCGCTCCACCTCCATCATCTCACTACTCTAGGGTGAGGGGGAAAATAGGCAACTACCTGCAGGGAAGAGGCCTGCTTTCTCCTAGCATCGCTGACTCTGCACAGCACTCCAGGAAGCACTGGGTAGTGCTGCAAGCAAGGAAGAGCAACTGCGACTTGAAATGCTTCAGTCTGAAGAGGAACAGGGGAACGGATAAGACTGAAGCTGCTGTGGGGGTCAGTCATGTACACTACACGAGCTACATGCTCGCCTGTGGGCTTCCCTGGCCTCCCAAGGATGTGAACCCTGCTGGGGGCGGCTCATGGAATTTGGACTTGACATACGTGTGGGTGTGGTATTGTGATTTAATAAGAAACATATATTTGATCTTTGTCTTTGGTTCCTGGCATGCTGCTCCCAAAACCCTTGTAATTTCCTCTGTGACAGGGGCGAGGGGAACATCTTGTATATTTATAATAATTCCCTGTCAAGCAGATCCCAGTATATGTGGTAAGGCAGCTCTTAGCGGGCCCCTTGAGAGCTTCAGGTTGGGGGGCTGGTTACCAAAGCAATCAGGTGATTAGAAAGTTGGAGCTTTTAGTCCCCTTCCTCATCCCCATCAATCCCTGGGCGGGGACCAGGGGCCAGGGACTGAGCCATCACCACGGGCCAGAGCTTGACTCACATATGCCTGTGCCACAGGACCTCCATCCATCCAGAGGGTGCAGACAGCTTCCCAGCAGGGAAACCAACCGCGGTTCTGGAGGGTGGCACGTGAGAGAGGGCACGTGCTGTGCACCTGTGCCCCACGCCAGTGTCCCCCACACCCAGCCCCCACCTGTGCCTCACGCCCTGCTCGTCTCTTCCTTTTGGCTGCTTTTCAGTTTTACATGTCACCATAAACCAGGAACGGTGCACTGAGTCCTGAGTCCTGTGAGCCAGTCCAACAAATGATCAGACCTAAGGAGAGGGGCGTGGGTGTCCCGCCAAGTGGCCCATGAGGCCGGTGTCTTGGGCGGTGAGGAGATTGCATCAACAGTAGAACACGGAGAGCTGAGAGCAGAGGCAGGTTTGCTGAAAACACAGGCAAGGAGGCAGCAGGTGGCAGGCCCCCTGGAAGCTGACTGCGGCGGCGCCAGCACCGTGGGTTCTAATCTGGGAGATGCCTGTCCCAGGCGGATTGGCCCTGGCTAGGGGCTTCTCTATCACCAAGGGGTCCCTTATTGCTGGGGAGATCCCTAGGGGGCTTCCGGATTGCCAGGGGCCCAGGAGGTGGCCTCCACATCAGGCACCTCGGATTTCTAGCTGGTCAGGGAGAAGGAGCGGGAGGTGGCCTGGGACTTTAGTGAGGACGGCCTTGTGTGACCGAGCCCGGGCGAAATCAGCGGCCGGTCGCACCGGTCTCCGGAGGGTAGTGAGAGGAAAAACCCAGCCGCCTGGGCAACGGAAGCGTTCTGAGGGCAGAGAGGGAGCCCTTGCGGGAGGGGCGGGGGGCGTGTCGGAGCCGCGGGCGCAGCGTGGACGGCGGCCGCGACGCAGCGAGGCCACGTGGGGCTTCCGCAGGGCGCGGATCCCGTCGCGGAGAGGAAGCCCTCGCTGGGAAAGCCAAGGACTTTACAAAGCAGCGGCCGAAGACCACCCACTTTTGGGCAAGGACGCCCGGGAAGGATTCCAGCAAGGCGGCCCCGGAAGCTGGCGTGGCAGCGCTTCTGTTGTCTGCGAGGTGGAGTTGTAATAATCCACGCGACCTTATTTTTCACGAGGGTTTTGAAGATGACAGGCAAAACGATCTTCTGTGTCGTTAGGAGTGACAACGGAGCCCGATTATGCCGAGTGCCTTCCATAATGCAGCAGGAGAGGCAGGGCCGGCAACCACTGCCACCTTTTCCGTGTAACCAAAGTGAAGACCAGCTACTCTGCCATCTGTCCACGCAGGCTTTCCGCACGCCCTGGCCTCCTTCCTGGCTGATCCACTGTCCCTCTGACAGCATCGCACCTGCGAATGGTAAGTTCTCTCCTGAAGGTGAGGGCATGCAACCTAGGACTTCCCTCTACGCGCGCTGCCCTTGGATGGCCCTTTGGGGCTGCAGCCTTTCCCTGGAGGGCGTCTCACCTGTGGCTCCTGCTGTCCACATTGCTCCCTTGCCAAAGCATCTGTGAAGGCGGCCTGTATTCTAGCTCGGAAAGATTTTAGGATCTCTGTGTTCTTGGTGTGGATTTTTTTTTTCTTTTAAGATTTATTTATTTACTTACTTTAGAGGCAGTGTTACAGAGTGAGGGAGAGATCTTCTATAGACTGGTTCACTCCTCAAATGGTTAGGGTATCCAAGGTTGGGCCAGACCAAACTCCATCCAGATCTCCCATGTGGGTAGCAGAGTACCAAGCACTTGGGCCATCATCTGCTGTTTTCCCAGGCACATTAGCAGGGCACTGGACTGGGAGCGGTGCAGCTAGGACTTGAACCAGTGCTCATGTGGGATGCTGTGTTGCAGGCAGTGGCTTACCCCACGGTGCCACACCACCACCCTGGTGTGGGTCTCAAGGGCTGTATCTAAGTGGGGTTATTCTATTCCTTCTGCTGGGAACTTGATGGATTCATTTAACATGGAGATTCATGAGCTTTTGTTTTTGTATTATTTATTTGATTGAGAGGTTATTTTTCTTGGATTTGTCATCCAGATTCTTATCTTTTCTCTTTTTTTCTTTAAAGATTTATTTATTTATTTGAAAGACAGAATTACAGAGAGGCAGAGGCAGAGACAGAGTCAGAATGAGAGAGAGAGAGAGAGAGAGAGAGGTCTTCCATCCGATGGTTCACTCCCCAGATGGCTGCAATGGCCAGAGCTGTCTGATTCAAAGCCAGGAGCAAGGAGCTTTTTCCCGGTCTCCCACGTGGGTGCAGGGGTCCAAGGACTTGGGCCATCTTCCACTGCTTTCCCAGTCCACAGCAGAGAGCTGGATTGGAAGTGGAGCAGCTGGGACTCGAACCGGTGTCCATATAGGACGCCAGCACTGCAGGTGGCAGCTTTACTTGCTACACCACAGTGCCAGCCCCATCTTTTCTCTTATTGTGTCCTAGATATTGTTAATTAACAGGTCTGCTTTCTGCAGTATTTCCTTGACTTTTTTTTTAAAAAAAGATTTACTTTATTTATTTGAAAGGCAGAGTTAAAGAGAGAGAGGGAGATACAGAGACAGAGAGATCTTTCATCTGCTGGTTTACCCCCCAAAAGGCCACAATGGCCAAGGCTGGGCCCGTCTGAAGCCAGGAGCCAGGAGCTTCATCCAGGGCTCCCACGTGGATGCAAGGACCCAAGCATTTGAGCCATCTTCCACTGCTTTCCTAGGCGCATTAATAGGAAGCTGAATGGAAAGTGGAGCAGCCAGGACTTGAACTGGTGCCCATATGGTATGCTGGCATTGCAGGCAGTGGTGTTACCCACTGTGCCACAGCACTGGCCCCTTCCTTGACTTTATCCCCAAATTTCCTGTTGAAATTATATTGTTATGACCTGGATAGCTTTTATTTCAAGGGAGTCTTTGTACGTTGCTGATGTTTCTTTTACAATAGCAATATGCTGTCCTTTTACGGACTGAATTTTCTCAAACCCTTGGAAAATATGAATGAGTGATTTCAGTGCACTGAACTATCTCCAGTTCCTCCAGGGTCATTTGTGTTTATTTATCGTGGTCCTTCTTACTCATGGGTGAGATGTCTTCAGGTGTCTGAAATGCCAGTTATCTGCTCTCGGGTGATGGGTAGGATCGGTGTGCAGGGATGAACAGGACCGACCGGCTGGGTAAGCAGACAGGGAGCCAACTCCGAAATGCTTCAATGTTACAGGTACAGCCTAGGGGTCACACTCATCCCACTGGCTGCCTGGTGCTTGAACTTCCTCGCCAAAGTCTGACGCCTTCGTTTTCCCACCATCCGGGGAACAACTTTACCAGTCACATCTACCAGCATTTTCAACACAACACAATGCATTGTCTTCCTGCCCAGACCTGTTTCCTTCCCTGGGCTTCCTGTTTCTGAAAGCTCTACTGCTTTCCCAGAATTAAAATCCACAAAATAATATCTGAGTGGACCTTCTTTTTTTTCAGTCTGTTCCCAGGTCCTGCAAGAGACCTCCTTGGCTCCATCCATCACCCTCTTCCCATTGCACCCTTTTCCATCAGACCATTATTTGTTCCCTGGGCAAATTCTGAGTTTCCCTTTAGCTTCCTCCCACCCCTCCCACACTTAGCTACCAGATTAACATGTCCCGAACATAGCTTTCTTTCTTTCTTTTTTTTTTTTAAGATTTATTTTACTGGGACCAGCGCTGTGGCACAGCAGGTTAACACCCTGGCCTGAAGCGCCAGCATCCCATATGGGCGCCAGTTCGAGACCTGGCTGCTCCTCTTCTTATCCAGCTCTCTGCTATGATCTGGGAAAACAGTAAAGGATGGCCCAAGTCCATGGGCCCCTGCACCCGTGTGGGAGACCCAGAAGTGGCTCTGGCTTCTGGCTTTGGATCGGTGTAGCTCCAGCTGTTGCGGCCAATTAGGGAGTGAACCATCGGATGGAAGACCTTTCTCTCTCTCTCTCTCTCTCTCTGCCTCTCCTCTCTCGGTGTAACTATGACTTTCAAATAAATAAATAAATTTTAAAGAAAATTATTTTATCAATTTGAAAGACAGAGTTACAGAGAGAGAGGTAGAGCAAGAGAGAGAGGGAGAGAAGTCTTCCATTCTGCTGATTCTCTCCCCAAATGACTGTAACAGCCAGAGCTGAGCTGATCCGAAGCCAGGAGCCAGGAGCTTCCTCTGGGCACCCCACATGGGTGCAGGGGCTCAAGCACTTGGGCCATCTTCTACTGCTTTCCCAGGCCATAGCATAGGCCTGGAACAGAAGAGGAGGGCACCCATATGGGATGCCAGCGCTTCAGACTGGGGCTTTAACCCACTGTGCCACAGTTCCAGCCCCACATAGCTTTCTTTATACCACCTGCTGCCCCCAATTTTTTCCTGACTGTTTCCTGTTGACTCATTGATGCCCACCTCCTCAATCTGGTGTTCAGAGGTCCACCTGGCTTCTCCTCCCGCCACACCTGTGGGAGACCATAGTGTGCAGCACAGGCTGTGGACAGACATAGTCAGGGTCAGGATCTGATGTGGACAGGGCACGTAATTGGCCCTCCCTGAGCCCTGAGTTTCTCAGCTCTAGCTTTAGGATAATAAAAGTAGCTACCTTATGGATTACTGAGAAGATTTAGTGAGATACCACTTACAAAAAGTCAGACTTTTAAAAGGTGGTTATGGTGACTGTGATTGTTATAGCTAACTTTTCCTGTCTTGGGTCCCGTATCTTTCAGCCAAATTGGTCTCTTCGCTGTTTCCTGAGCCCGCGATCTCCCCACCCCTGGGCTCTGTCTCAAGCTCTTTCTGTGCTCCAAATGTCCTTCCTCCTCTTTGTAGACAGTTTTTTAAAACACTTTTAAAAACTGCAATGGTATAAGCATATCACAAAGTTGGTTGTTGTTAACTCATTCTACAAGTGTGGTTCTGTGGCATCTGCATTCACATTGCTAGGCAGCCATCACCACCATCCTTTTCTAGAAGCTGCAGTTCTGGACCCGGCAAACACCAATTCCCCATCCCTTCTCCCCCCTCCTGACAAGCAGCATTTGACTTTCAGTCCCTATGAAATTTACTATACGAGGGTCTTCCAAATGAAGGAGAATCATACAATATTTAGCCTTCTGTGCCTTGCCCATTTCACTCTGCATGGCATCGTCTAGGTTCATCCAGGTTGCAGCATGTAACAGAATTGCATTTCTTTTGAAGGTTGGCGCTGGCTGTGGTGTTTGACTTGCGGGAGGTGCCTTCCCTCAGCCTCCTCTCTGCTCAGAGGCGGGGCCCCAGGCAGGTTGAGGGAATGAATGCGATAATGAATGCATGCATGGAGGAATGGCCAGCCTGGCTCTGAATGTCCAGGAGGTGCTGCCACCTCAGAAGGAAGCACGGAGGGGTGACTGAACACCACCCAGCCCAGAGGAGACAGCTCCCGAAAGGCTGTGGTGCAGGCAGGAGGCCTCTGAGCCAGCTCTGCAGGCTCCTCTCCAAGCTGGCAGTGCGCATCGGATGCTGCCCACTTGGCCCACCCTCCTCTGTCCCATTAAGGAGCAGCATGTGTCGCGGCGTCTGTGGGATTTCCCTAACACAGAAAACAGCTTGCCACCGGGGGCTACGGAGACATTTTGGATGCATTGTATTTAAATTTTGTTTTCATTGAAAATTTATAGCTAGCACCTTCTACTCTAATGTAATGAATAATTAGAAGCAATTACAAGGAAATTTAGCAAATTACTAAGCCATCTAGGAGTAAAAATGAGTGTTCATGGTGTTCTTGCTTTGCTGTCTGGCAGTCTGCCGTGATATATGACATGCATGCAGCCACCAGACACAAGTTCCTTTCTGTGCACCTAGCGGTTTTCCAGTAAGATCATAGAAATCAATGCATGGCACTAGAGTCTTGTGATGCTAAAGGGCCTGCTCAATAAATATTGCATGATGGGGGAAGGGAATGATGAATTTGAGCAGTGGAAACATAACCACGAAAGTTTCTATGTTTGGTGAGTTAGAACTTTTTTTAAAAAAAAGAAAGTTTATTTTTCTTCTTTAAAATGTGCATGTTAATTGAAGAAATTAAGGAGAGAAACTACAAAAGTGAAAGAAACATGCAAAAATGCTGCCTAGACACTCCAACTGGAGAATACCATCTTTTCATTCTGATTGACTAGCATTATATTTTCTATGTGTGTTTTATTTGTCATGATTATTTTTGCCATGCTATAGAAGACATTTTACTGTTTGGATTTGTATTTTTCATTAAGTTTTGAAAAGCATTTATTTGAGAACCAGAGAGAGAGTGAGTAAAGAGAAAGAGAGATCTCTCATTTACTGGTTTACTCCTGAAGTGCAGACAACTGCCAGGACTGGGCCAGTCCAGAGCTGGGACC